TATACCCACAAACCTAACTCCAACAGTGTGATGAACATGTCTTTCAACAAAAAACTGTGGATTCCTCCTTTCACCACGTCGCCTTCTAACCCTGGCACGACTATCGTGCATGCCTAAACAAAATCGAGACTCGTCACTAAAGACAATACTGTTCCATTCCTGATCCCAGAGTGACCGTTGTCTGCACCACTCAAGGCGATTACGTCGGTGTTCTCGAGTTAAAGGGAGGACCCAGTGTGGCCGGTATGAAAACAAGCCAAAACTTCTCATTCGTCGGTAAACACTTCGCATGCCAATAGGTCTTCCGTGTTCTGCAAACCATTCATTTGCAATGGAGCTGGTAGTGGAGAAACGGTCCATTAAGGCCAATAATCTTAGGCGGCGATCTTCACGGTCTGTTGTTCTACGGCGGCGTCCAGTGCCCCTTGCTCTTTGCGTACGGCCTTCTCGAAGCCATGTCTGACAACACCTAACCACTTCTTTGCACTCTAACTGCAATTGCCCGAAAAGAAAGTCCAGCTTCCCGAAGTCCCAGTATACGGCTCCTATCAAACTCACTAAGTTGACGAAATCGTACAGGTCTCCGTACTCTAGGCATCGTAACCGATCGTAAAGGATGTCAAGAACCAAAATCCGCCAACGTTGATTCTTTACTGCGGCTGAAATATTCATTTTTAGAGCGTTAGTAAATTAAAAAAAAAGCAGTATAAAAACCGGAATGTCCAACTGATAAGGCTGAAAATTTTTTCACTTGTTATTTACAGTAAGATAAATACATTCACCAACTTTTATTAAAATAAAACCATTTAAACTGGGTGTTCGGATTTATATGTCACTTAGTATATACAGTGAAAGCTCCCATAAGCGGACACTCACGGTTCCGTAACTTTTGTCCGCTTATGGGAGGTGTCCGTTTAAAAGAGAGTATGTAAGTATAGAGTATAAATAACGGGGTATATAATCATGAGGAAATGAGGTATTATAATCATGAGAAAAATGAAACAGAAACTCGCCACATTTTTAAAGTATGTATTTATGCTATATATCTATGTAATATATGTACATATACGCATACAAAAACATAAATGCTTCAATACATGGTACGAGAATTTAAAAAAAACATTATTCTTTAGCTTGTTGAAAAAAGTTTAAAATGTTTGTCTGACGAAATTTCACCATCTTTTGCTGAAGGAGACAATTTTCGTAATAACTTTCTAAATTTTTCAAATGTTGAAATGCAGTGAAATCATCTTTAGCAAATTTTTTCAATATAGAAATATGATTTAGAGCTTCCCCATATGAATTTATCGTTTTGAACCGCTTAGTGAGTCCACCAGTTCCACTTCTTCTTCTGAGTCGTTTGGACTACCATATTCAAGTTGGCCTGGGCTTTCTACAACCAAATTCGAAAAGTTGCCAATGGCATTTTCTTCTGTTGTTTTGTTATTGTCTATGGCCAGGAAATCATCTACTTTCTGGGGATCTGCTACTCCTAAATGTTTGGCATGTCGCAGTAACTGAGCAAGTGTCGCTAAGGGCAGATCGTCTTCAGCATCGCAATAATTTTGCTCAGCAAATTCTGAGCTACATTCACTTTTTCTGAATCCAGCTTTGCCAAAACAGTTTTTAATTGTAGAGGAATTTACTTTATTCCATGCTGTTTTTATAAAATACAAAGCTTCTAACACATTGATAGACTTTGTAAGCTCAGATAAGCTTTGACCATCGTCAATTTTTGTTAAAATATGTTTTAAGTGCCGATAATAAAATTTAAAGTTCTGTATGACACCTTGATCGATGGGCTGACAAACAGAAGTTGTGTTTGGCGGTAAAAATATAATTTTCACATTTTTCATTTTCATATCACGAGGATGAGAGCATGCATTGTCTAAAAATAAAAGAACTTGCCTTTTTTGGATTCTCATTTTCCGGTCGAATTCGACTAACCACTCAGACATGATTTCTCGGGTCATCCATGCCTTTTTGTTGGATTTCCAAGTCGCTGGTAGATCCTTAATAGCAACGTTTTTTAAAGCACGGGGACGAGCCGCTTTCCCGATCACAATCAAATCGCATTTTTCACCGGCCATATTTGCACAGAATAAAATGGTTAGTCTATCTTTAGACAACTTTCCACCCACACATGTTTCTCCTTTAAAGGACAGAGTTTTGTCGGGCAATGCGCGGAAAAAAAGTCCACTCTCATCTGCGTTGTACACATCTGGTTTGTAGCCAAGCAACATGGACGGAAGTTTCTCCAAAAATTGTGACACATCAACTTGATCTACTGCAGCAGCTTCGCCAGATATGCATTTGAAACTCACACTATGTCTCTTGCGCCACTTTTGCAGCCACCCGTCGGACGCACTGAAATTATTATAGCCCAAAGTAGTGGCGATTTCTTTAGCTTTCATTTTCACTAACGGCCCTGAGATTGGAATGTTCTGACTTCTAGCTTTCACAAACCACTCAAAACATGTTTTGTCTATAGCAAAACCTTCCTTTTTTAAAAAATCCTTCTTTTGATTTATATTAGTTCCTGATTGCCATTTACTCCTGATATCCTTCCTGGCAATTTCAGCTGCTTGCGTTTTCCCAATATTAAACCTCTTTGCCAAATGACGAACTGAAACACTTTCTCTGTCTAATACGTTAACAACTTCCATCTTTTCCTTTAACGAGAGCATCCTTTTTTTTTGATGCCATTTTACAGTTACAATAATAAAATACGTAACTCAATCAACTACGAATTTGCCTGAACTGAAGACAAGCCACAAGATTACATACAGGCTACCCAACGAAATGCGTAAATGGGGAATCACCTAATATAAATCGGGGAATAACCGAATTTTATGTATGTAGATATGTGCATTGCAATAAGCGGAACTAAAAAATCGTCCGGGTATTAGAGTTTCGCGTCCGCTTATGGGAGATTTTTTGATCACATACAGGAAAATCTAGTGTCCGCGTCCGTTTATCGGAATGCATTTAACAGTGAAAATCGATGGCTGAAATTCGGTTCCAGGAACTTTGTCCGGTTAAAAGAGATGTCCGCTTATAGGAGCTGTCCGCAAGGAGAGCTTTCACTGTATTACTATAAAATGTCCTAAATCGACTCATTCGATCCTCACCAATATGATAGGCCAAAAAGGCTGATCGTTACCCACCTTTTTTTTTTGGCGAAAATGTTCGTATAAATCCAGATCAATCAAAAAACGTTAGAATAAGTTTAGAGCCGTATCGTCAGTCACTCCTACAATATTGTAGGACGCCTTTTTGACTTTGGTTTTCATAGTTTTTCCTGTCCAGAAAAGTAGGAGTATTTCTACCGTTTCTTGTTTTAAGATCATATTTTTTTTCTGTATATGTACACCCTATTTCACGAGTATACATCACGATAGAATAACATCTGATTATTTAGTAATATCTCAAAATTCCCCATATCGGCACAGGACGCATAAAGGTAGACAGAGCCGTATTTTTTTGGCCTTTTAGACGCTACAGATCCATTTTGAACTTGCTAACAGCCTTTTATTCAAACAAGTTCATTTGCATACAACAAATAAAACCCCACAACCAATTTTTACTAGATTTATACCCGATTCTTTATTGCCAACGTTGCAGGCTAACACAAAAATGTCACTTGCTGATCAGCTGTTCACCTCAGTAGACGTCAAAGCGTGATGGATACTCGTAAAATAGGCAATATAAGAAATTTTAGGCTGATGAAACATAACCTCAGAATAGGAGAGCGTTGACGCTGATAAGGAACAGTAGAAATCTAAAAATACCCGATTCTTTCTGAATGAGAGAAAAGACTATGAAAATTCTAAAGGCGTCATAAAAGAATTGTAGGAACGACTGACGATATGGCCCTTAGTTTATTTCCTACAAGGTGTAAAAGGAGTACTTAATATGTACTTATTAAACCTCTGGACAAAGAAACATTTTAGTGCAATGTAGCCCACCCCCCTTCCCAAGGAATTATTCCTCGCTGCCAAAAAGATCAGATCATCTGACAATACATCATTTTACTGACCATGAAAAATGGATGTATTAATACAAAATAGTTTGTAAAAAAGAATGTATTTTAAATACAATTAAAAAAATCATAAAAAACATTAAATATATATAAATTTACATTAAAGCTATATTATATTGGGTTAAATTCAACATTTCAATACTTATAGCAATACATGTCTAGGCACCCTGTAACTATACTTTTCCTCTAACAAAATTAAACAGAACTTATACAGAGTCTCCAGCAACAAGTGGTACAAAACAGAAACAATTAATATTCTCTGGAAGCAGCTGACAAAAGTGATAAATTGGATTGATCCCTATGCTACGCTCCTGACCACCTTGCAATGAAGCTACATTGAATTTATATTTTTATACATAATCCTTACTGAGAATGGTGCACTTGTTTTTCACTTCAATATTTGACTACAACGAACTGCACACAGTCTCGGCAATGCTTGAATTTGAGTAGGCATCATGTGATTTTTTACTTTCTTAAAGTTCTCTGCTTAACAAGATCCTTTTCTATTACAATCTTCGTCATACATGAGCTACAAAGAATATTGGAGGGGTACTAGAAAAGAAATCTACCTAGACACGAAACAACAGACATACGAGATTTTTGATAGTATTATTTTCCAAGATATTCCCCCCTCTAAATACACTTGTGCTACTTTTCCTGTAGTTAACTATACCCTTTTAAGAAAATGTTCTCTATTGCCTCTAAAAAAGTGGCCGACGTCTGCTTTTACGCCATTATCCGAGTTAAAACGGCGTCAGTAAAGATTTTTCTTTAGTAATCTAAAGAGGCAACAGTTATGAACCCACTGCTTGGGTTGTGTTTTTATCTCAGGATCCCAAAGATGCACCCAAATTAGTGTCAGAATCGTTCACCAAAGTTTCCAAATAACTAACATGCGCAATTTTTGTTTTGTTTATTAAAAAACAGAAAAGTATGACCTAGAAATTAGATAAATAGTACACAGTCCTTTTTGACATTATAACAATACATCATCGTACACCGCAAAATTTCTTAGTAATACACCAAGTACAAAATACTATGCAATATTTTTTTGTTAGAAAAACTCTAATGAGAAATAGTGCAAAAATTCATACCAGCGAAAAATGTTACATGATCATTTGTTTTAGTGTCAGCATCTGCAAAGGGATCGGGGCAGAGTACAGGGTTCATTATAAACCTAAATACGTTCTTTGGTTGCAAGCCTTTCTGTAATCTGCGATAAATAGCTGCATATGACAACACTGTTGTACGGGAGTACATTTATAGATCCGGCTTGGTAACTACTGCGTGCGTATGCATTATTGCTATAATCTTGGTACTTTTAAACAATTTTTTTTGTTTTTGGTAGAAGCCACAAACGCGATAAAAGCTTCAAAGTATAAGTGCAATATAAAAAACGTGATAGCACGGGGAAATGAAGCCAGAAAAGTAGGCCAACATTGGTCCCAACATTTTGCCGACCTCATGGAAAACGACTAGCACCTACATGGTTACCATTACTTATTATTTAATGCCACAGCTATACTCCCAAATGAAGTAATGTACTTTTGTACATACACTTCGATAAATCGCAAAACTGAGTATAAAAATACTGACAAATAGAAAATAAACAATACTACATGGCTAGAATGTAGAAATAGAAACATGTTTGTTCCCTCTACATCATTTAAATACACATGACTATGCTAGAGGTAACTGCATGTACAGATCATCTGAAATATATTGTATTTGGATTGTCCAAATATGATTGTCCACAATATACGTGAAGCTCAAAAAGTCAAACAACCTTAAAATAATAGAGAAATAACAACTATGTCATCAACAGCATCATATATTTGTTCTTTGTTGTGCCATTGTTCAATCCAAATACAGTTAAACAAAAATTATGTAGCAAATAACATATATATCTTACCTGACTATAAATACTTCATTTAATCTAACATGTAGCTCGTTCAAAAATGACTAGAAACGTAAAAATGGTTTGAAAATTATTTCTCATGCTGGCTAAGATGCATATTGCATAATTTTAGCGTGAAATGTCAATGTACAAACACTAATAACGCACCAAATATATTTTGGTAAGACCTCATTTTCCGAAAATATATGCTTCTATACTAAACAATAAAAAAGTTATCATTAACACCAAAGAGTAGTTATATAAAAGCAGACAGACAAGGCGAATAAAATTAGACAGATGACTCCAAAAACATGGCGTCCACAAAACAGCGGTTGTAAATGCGGTGTTGCAAGACAGATAATCATTTTTGGATTAATTCATCGACCATCACCTGTGGTGAACGCGTTTTATGTTCAAATTTACTTTTGTTTGAACATTTATTCTTGGTGGTGACATATATCATCCATTTGCTGCCTACGAAATATATTTTTTATCTAATAAAGTAATAAATCACTCCTTTTGCGAGAGAAGCTATTCTCAAAACATGTAAGTTAGTCCGTCTATTTGACATGGTCGCGAGTTATCTACACAGCCTGGCTCAAGACGATATGTTTATTTATTTCGTATGACTTTTCGACGTAACCACCGAAAAGCGTGTAAAGAGTCGAGCTCCATTTTGTTTAGTATAAATGCAGCATTTTATCAATATTTTATGACAGCATAGCAACACCGCCTCTACAACACTGTTTTTACTTGGCAGTTCTGTGACTAGTTTTTATCGATGATGTAACAAAAAAATCGGCTTTCCTAATATAATGCAGATGACTCCCAAGGGCAATGGAACCCACTGACAGCCTATAAAGGCATTCCACAAAGTGACATAACTACTTTTTGATATTACTCTATCGCCAGAAAAGCAGTATACAACTTTCAGGGTGTGTTAAAAAATATATTGTGCAGGTAAAACAAACAAATCAATTCATCAACAATAATATTAATAAATGCAAAATTTCCTTCCAAACATCATAATAATTTCTATTGATTCTCATAAATCTATGTATTGGAACTGTGTAGTTAGGAAGCTTAAGAATGACCGTTTTGCCAAAATCATGCAGCATTTAGTTTGCTGAAAATGAAATGAAAACAGCACAATGCCGCAACAAATAAAATATGAATGTTCCCCCAATCTCTGGATGGATGTATATCCTTCCATTTCTCTCCCTAGTTATTTTGATTTAAGTTTAATCCTAAGTTACTTCGTTAGGCCTATGACAAACATATACATATATGATTCTGCATTGATAGACATTGATAAAATGTCAAATCAAAAGGGAAGCTAAATTGCATTCATATACATTTGGTCTGGGTTTAGTGTACGAATACTAAAAATGATCTGGCAGCCTGAAGCATATTGCAATACGTGCAAAAATAATAAATACGCCATATTTCAAATACACCATACAAGATATACGTAACGGGTTCCAAAAATATCTAGTGGCTCGTACCAGAGTGATTTGTTATCTAATGGCCGTATCGTCAGTCCTTCCTACAATTGTAGGCCCTTAAAAAAGGTTTCGTGTAAGCGCGTATTTTGAGGTTATGTTTTCTTTTGATTCCTAAGAAATTTCAGGCTGATAAAACTTGACTTTTATCATCTGTTGTATCACCATAAAGAAGTCATAACCTCACAATAGGAGAGTATGACGCTGACACGGAACATTAGAACTCTAGAAATACCTCAGCCTTTCTGAAGGAGAGAAAAGCCTATGACAACCAAGCAGGCCATAAAGGCGTCCTACAATTTATTGTAGAACGACTGACGACACGGCACTAAGTGAATTACCGTTAAACACGTCGCGTTTTTAGCATCGTATTAACGTCAATAAAACGTGCATTTCTGTAGTGTAAATTATATACGTACTAACGACAAAAGTGACGCTGTGTCCACGTTGAACACGTTACACTGTAAAAGGGGCTATTCACAGCCCCAAATAGTTTGATGTTACTCCAGTTTTTACAATGCTATAGTTCCGATTTTAATGATGTGAAATAAAAAATATTTTCACGCGAGAGGGTATATGATTTCAGATAACTCTTAAACGAAAATCGTTTTTTAACCAAAGTGTCAGAGCCCATAAAAATATGCAAATATTTCAGGAACACCGTTGACACCAAGCATATCTTTTCACCTCGTTTTCTCGACCAACACGGCTAAAAAAGCGACAACACAAGCGCAACTGCAGCACATCTAAGAATTAAAATTCTGCTTTTTTCTTTTGAAGACTAACGCGAGTATGCTTCTAAGTCTCCACCATTTGCTGTGCCTGTTCGCCTTTCGGTCTCCTCCATGCAATCCCAGTTTTTCCCTCTCTTTACGCCTAATCTCCCTCACTAACGTATGGAACGCATCGTCCACGTACGTTCTCAGACAAGCCGAAGTCTCGTAGAAAGGACAGCCCAGCTGGCGAGCCAAAGACTTACCTTCTTCGGTCGACACTTTGCGTTGAGCGTGGAGGTCGAACTTATTACCTGCGTGGAAGAGGTACCTTTTCACAGAATCTGTCTCAAAATAGCTTAGTATCATCATTGATTAACGTATTCTCCATGAAAGTACCCAACCCTATGAGGACTGTAAATTAAGTGATGAGACTGAGGAAGTGTTAAATTTGACTCAAAAAACTGTTCAGCAGATCAAGAAAAACTAGGTGATGCACAATGATAATGCTCCTTGTCACACAGTGATGTCAATAAGCGAGCTTATGGCCAGTAAAAACATTCCTGTGGCTCCTCAGCCCTCTTACGCGCCTGATTTGAGTCCTTATGACTTTTTTCTCTTCCTGAAGTTCCTCATAAACTCGAATAGCTTTACAACGATTATACAGGGTGACTTCGAAGTTGAGTCATTTATTTTAACAGTGAATAGATCTGATCAAAAGAAATGTTTTTTTCCTTTACCATTTTTCTGGTAAAATTAAAGTAACAAAGTTATAGCCCTTTGGAAGTTTGAGTACCGCCCTGTCTCAATATCATGTGCTCGTGTTTGGCAACAACGGATATAATCCGCCTTACCGGTTCATCGCATCGGAAACAAAAAAGCGAAAGAATTTGGAACGATGTTTGTGTACAGTTTATTATTTTATTCAGTTCAGTTATACATACAGTCAGTATCAGTGTCGCGTGTGAATACTGTCTGTTACGTGGCTCAAACGAAATAAAAAATGGCACATGTTTATGCGGATCGGTTTCCCAATCGAGTGCAACCAACCCCTCGTGCCTTTGTTAATGTAGTACAACGGGCTCGTGAATCAGGTGACTTAAGACCTCACAGGGGACCTCACGATCAAATACAGGTCCGCACTGAAATACTTGTCGGGAGGATACTTTATAAAACAAGGTAAAAAATTTTTTTTATTTTTTTTTATTTTTACACACATATTTTGGTTTATCTTCCTTCTACAATCATTATCTGAAAATTAATGACTCAACTTCAAAGTCACCCTACCCTGTATATACAGTTTATTGTTGCATAACTTTAAGATTCGATAGAACTTTTAAAATTCATGCATTAAGTCTATATAAACATAGGTCGAAAAATGCGTGGCTTCGGAAATACAGGGTGTTTAAATTTACTTTCTAAAATAGTTTTTTTAAATATTTCGAACAATATTTGATGTATAACAGTGAAAATTGGTATACAAGGGTTTTTTGGTACGACAAAACGAACCATGGGCATAGTTTTACTGTAGCCGCTAGAGGGCGCTCTCTACTGTACCTGTAGTGTATTAAAATGACCGAAAATTTTTTCTTAGTGCAATTTTTTGCTTTTTGAATAAAAATACTGATTCTTCGCACTTTTCAACATAAAAAAGCTCTCCTGTGAGTTTTCGTTATAGTTAGCCGTTTTTGAGATATTTCGATTTTTAAGGTTCGATGCATTTTTAATTATTTATGGGAAAATAATATTTTTTTTACATTTTCGATTTGGGCATTACAAGTAATTAAGATGATCGTTTAGATTGTGTTTTTAAACACAGCAATAATTCCTAACTCCAAATAAACACAAAAAAACAATATTAATTTTTTAACAACTTAAATTAATTATTTACAACTAAAATGCTATTGGATAGTTAGGACAAACATACAAAATCTAAAGTAGTTGCTCGAAATGTAAACCCAATTGTTCAATACACAATTCACATCTACGAATGATCGAACGTGGTATAGCATTATTCAAATAAGGCCTTATTTCATCACATGCATTCCTGATTCTGTCTATTAGCATATCTCTTGTGGTTACGGGAGTCTGGTACACTTTTTCTTTTAGAAATCCCCACACAAAGAAATCTAATGGATTTAGGTCAGGGGATCGTGGAGGCCAGGCGACTGGTCCTCCACGGCCGATCCATCTTTCTGGATAATTTTCGTCCAGCCAGTTTCTAACTATTCTCGAATAATGAGCTGGACAACCATCAAGCTGGAACCAGGCCAATCTTCTTAAATCTAACATAACATCATCCCACATATTTGCATGTTCAGCCTTTAAAAATTCCAAGAAGGTCGCAGCATTTAACCTTGCAGGCAAAAGGTAGGGTCCAAATAGTCGATTACGGTAGATACCAATCCACACGTTCACGCTAAATTCATGCTGAAAATTTCTTTCCCGAACTGCATGCGGATTTTCATGCGACCAAATATGTTGATTATGAAAATTTACCACTCCACGTCTAGTGAAGCATGACTCATCGGTAAATAAAACGTTACTTAAAAACTCCCTATTATTATCAGTTCTATCAAGAATCTACTGACAAAATGTGATTCTTCGTTCTCCGTCCCCTGGCTGTAGTCCTTGCACAGGTTGCAAATGGTAAGGACGTCTATGGTCATTTCTAAGAACACGGTGAACATGGCTTGCTGAAATTCCCAAGGCACCAGAAACTCTCATAACACTTGTGGTCGCATCTCTATTAAACTCACGCAGCATCATACGGGTAAATCTGCGCTGACGAACATTTATGTTTTGATCCATTTGGGTATTTCCAAAACCATTTTCAATTATTTGGCGATGCACTCTTACAAATACTGAGCGAGTTGGATGTCGTCTGTTTGGAAATCTTCGTGCGTATTCTCTGGCTGCTTCTGCTGCGTTTCCATTTACAAAGCCATACACAAAATGAATATCCGCTAACTCTTGATTGGAGAATAAAAATGACATTTTTATAAAACTTACAAAAAAAAAAACAGGTAAAAGAAACTAAATTTCGGGCATTCACAATTGCAAAAAAACGTTTCAGGTTTCAACAGACAACAAAACTAACTGTCAACTAATTGACGTTTAACCTTATTCTGCTTTCAATTTCAAAAATATTTGTAGGCACAGCCTACTTCTAAAAATTATCGAGATACTGACTTTTTAACGTTATTTTATCATAAATAATTAAAAATGCATCGAACCTTAAAAATCGAAATATCTCAAAAACGGCTAACTATAACAAAAATTTACAAGAGAGCTTCTTTATGTTGAAAAGTGCGAAGAATCAGTTTTTTTATTCAAAAAGCAAAAAATTGCACTAAGAAAAAATTTTCGGTCATTTTAATACACTACAGGTACAGTAGAGAGCGCCCTCTAGCGGCTACAGTAAAACTACGCCCATGGTTCGTTTTGTCGTACCAAAAAACCCTTGTATACCAATTTTCACTGTTATACATAAAATATTGTTCGAAATATTTAAAAAAAAAGCTACTTTAGAAAGTAAATTTAAACACCCTGTATTTCGGAAGCCACGCATTTTTCGACCCATGTTTATATAGACTTTATGCATTAATTTTAAAAGTTCTATCGAATCTTAAAGTTATGCAACAATATGAAACACCCTGTATACTGTATTATACAAGTTACTAAAAAATTCATGAAAAATCTAAATAAAAATGGTGGCCTCCATTTAAAAATCTAAAGTGTGACGCAATATCTTATTTTTGGATCAGCCTGTATTGTACGGCTATAGATAAAAAGACATTCCCCTAGAAATAAAAATTGACGTGACCGAGCGTTTTTCCTAAAATATACATTTTGCGCTGAGCACCCTGTATATAAGTGACAGCGTGAAACTGAAATTAACAATGTCAATCGATTATGTTTTCTGTCAATTGATAGCATATTCAAGAACGTTTATGCTGTCATTAAGGACGACAATTACGGGATAAGTTTCAATGATTACAAAATAATATGCTTCTTACCAACGAGCACTAAAGGTGTATCTTCAGAAGCCCTAACCTTCTGTATCAGTTTTTTGTACTCCAGTGCTTCCTGGAAACTGTGGCGATCCGTAACACTGTAGCATATTAAAAAACCTTCGCCACATCTCATGTACTGATCCCGCATTGCTGTGAATTCAACCTGCAAAAGAAATACGTAACAATACAAAAATCAGAGTTGAACGATCTCATATTCTTGACACGAAAGGAAGATGAAGCAGTTCCATTTGTGCCTGATAATGATTATAGAACCTTTGCGATTGCAAATATACAATTAAATATGGAAGCTTCCGATTACGAGGTCTGAAAATTAAATGATAAGACTGGCAACGTAGCGTTCGATCTGGCAACACTGGAAGCGCCAGACTTGGAGGAGAGACAGGGGAACATGTCATCAGGGTTGCCAGGCGTGCCGAGTTTTTGCCAAAGTGGCGATTCGACTGCTTCAAATGGCGACTGAAATGGCGATTGACTACTTTCCTCCTCAAGGGAACTCATTTTGGGACAGTCGAAAACATTGAAACAGCTGCAATCAACCAGCTGAAGGCTATTCCAGTATCGGAGTTCCAGCACTGCTATGAGGAGTGGAAGAACCGTCTTCAGCGCTGCGTGGCTTCTGAAGGAAGTTATTTTGAGGGTAGCAATACAAAATCATAATATTATTTGGATAAAAAAATCACTCAATTTACAGTTGAGATGTTGCCGGACGCCGTGATCAAAGGAATATCTTACAGTAGCTGACATACATAGGCCTGGAATATTGAACTAGGGATGTCATACCTGTCCAGCTGTATCCAGTATGTCCAAAAGAGCAGGTTCTCCATCAATAACAGCTTGTTGCTGATAAGAATCCTCTGTAAATGAAATATTGTTTGAAAACGTACTTTATTCCATTTACTTATATTTACCGATTGTGGGGTCATGATAATCCAAAAAGCTATGGCTGACAAATTGCAGTGTGACAGCTGAAACAAGGAAAATGTACTCGTAACTGCGGATAATTCTCACTTGAATCGGATATTTTTCTTTAGGAAAAATGCACTCACAGCATATAAAGTTGAAAAAGTGGGCTAAGTATAAAATATACAAACAAGTAGAATGACTTGAAATTTCTCATTCACCTATGTTTAAACAAATTAATGAGTGATTTTTACTGTAGTTGTGTGCGTAAAAGAAACTTATATAAACAAAATATATGAATTCAAATGATGGATTAGTAGTATTTGTCTAAAAATCTTAATATACAGTAATGGACAAAAGTATATAGACAAATTAATATTGTGCTGTATTTCTTTTTTAACTTGTTTGAATAATACACCAACCTGTATACATAATTCGTGATAGCATAATACACACTTATACATAAATAAATTCATTAGACTCTCTTCAATAAAAAATTAATTGAAAAAACTGGAGAACTCTGATTTTTACATTTTTTAATGTGTTTTGCTACCTCAGAATAGACTGACAGTAACTGAAAAAACTCTTGTTATACTTGTATTTTTTGTTTTTGCATTGGTATGACGTTAGTTCTACATCTACATCATTTGTACATATTATGCATTTGTGATACTAGATTTAGAATAAATATCATTATTTTTATGATAAATGAAACCACACGTGTTTTTAATTACCATTTACTGATGCGACATTTCGGCCACCACAGTGACCTTTTTCAAATAAAAATGATAATTCTGAATTGTCATCAGTAAATAGTGGATTGTCGGCCAGACAAAACCCCAAGTCTTATAACAGAATACGAAATAAGAACTTAACCTTGCATTATTAAGAAAAACTTCGATTATAATACACTTTCCTCCACATATTACCAGTATGCATGTGATGAAAAACAGTTCAGGGTATGTGTGTTGTGCCTGCCTTTACAGAGCACATAGGTCATGCAAGAATGAACAAATTTTCCTAGTAATACATACACCAAAAGCCTTAAAATAACCTGGATATCAAGTTCTGAAATAATCTGATTGGGCAGCCGAACCCTGCATCCTTCATGAAAGGATACAATATTTTATGGTAGGACATCAAATCAGGCACCGCATGGTGTGTAGATTAACTTAGTTTATATACCAATCGTATCTAAAAAATCAAAAGTGCCACATTCCTACTGCAATAACAAAATTGATGTTAGTTTACTGTGTCTTAAAAATCCTATTGATACTATGTGAGTGTAATCAGAACATTGTTCTAGTATATACCACTAGGGAAAAATTGAAAGGCAGGAGGTGGGTGGTACTCAGACATTTTTTCAAATTTCATTATTTTTTTAGCATTTTAGCATTGAGCCAGGCATTGGGCACATTCCCTGTGTGCCCATAGAGCAAAGTTTGAATAGGTGGTAGGATTTTTTTTCTTCATAGTAGGTTGAGATCGTGTAATAATTTGATAGAGTAGTTCCACTAATATTAAACCTTGAGCAGTTAAAAAATTGGAACAACAAAATATTGTTAACCTCAAGTAGTGTTGGGATGCTTGGTTATTTAGGTTCCTGCTTCCACAGCTGCCTCAGTATATTAAAGAAATAGAACATAGATATTTATACCTTATTTTTAGAAATTGATTGATTGATTTTCGGCAATAACTTTTGGGCAAAGTCAAAATTTATATATATATTATACTTGTGAATTATATGAATAATCTAAAAGTAATATTTTTATTGTGCTACAGCTCCAGAAAATGCTTCATTGCAGAATTGGTAGTTGGCAAACACTGACTCTATATTCTGATATGAATCTTTTATCCAACAAACTATGATAAAATCTGGGAAAATGTGGAAAACTTAATAATTACAATCACTATTATAAATATGTCTAAAAAGCTTATTTTCATATTTACTGCTATCAAAATATAACAACTTTTTATTTTAATTTTGGAAATACCATTCTGGGTTACTAAGTATTCATAGGATGCTAAGATATTTCAATCAGCTTTAATAAATTTAGATGGTTTTATAGATAAAATGCATATTCTTTGTTAGCCGCTTCCCAATGCCCCAGTGGAAGTGGTGTACTATACTTTGGACTGCAGTACAACTAAAAACAGGGGACAGTGTGACAACATACATGCTTTTGAAGGAGCTATTGGGGTCACTAATGTTATTAAGAAGCTTACACCTACCTGATTTACCCACACCTCCATCACCTAGGACAACGATTTTGTAAACCCTGATACCAGTTCTTGTTTTGTCTTGTGTACTGCTGGCTCCTGCAATTGGTCTCTCATCCAGATCATCTTTGCCCGACGATTTGCAGGACTCCTGCCTTCCGATTTTGCCTTTCTTTTTGCTACTCGCCTCTCCGGCCATCATGTCAGCAGATTTAGCTGCAAAGAGAGGCATTTAAAAACGCTACATAAACCCCCCTATGGTGCCGCATTACAGATTGGCGAGTTGTGCCCTTTTAAAAGTTAGACATGTTTCAATGTTTGCTGGCGGCTAGCCACACCTGCAAGATGCTTTGTCGGTGACATTAAAGATTTTTTGAGCCAAATTGTCTTGTTGTCTCTTCACCACCCACCGAAACCCACATTTCAGTATTTTGACGTTTTTTATTATGGTGGGAGAGACTGGTGGGCGATGACGTCTAAATGTCAATGGCCGCGTTCAAGCGTTCTGTTAGGACCATCACAGACGTCATTCTCTCTCTCTCTCTCTCTCTCTCTCTCAAGATTACCCGACGCCGGTCATCCGAAAAGTGGCATTATGTCGTTTTTTTGACATTATGTATGTTTTCTTAGAAGACATCAACTTGGAACGAGCTGTCTTTCATTTCATGCTCACTTGTAGCAAGCGCAGAATTCAGTATTTGCACACTAGCCTACCTAATCAACAAGTTGACGATTTATGGTTTTTTTTTAATTATATAAGTTTTTACGTAGGTAATAGCCCTGCGTGAGTAGGTTCATATTGTAGATTCATAAAATCGGTAAAAATGTCCAGTTATGATCTTATAACATTCAGTAATATTGGCAACATTGAACATTGGCATAATCATGAGAACGATTGACCTTTTATTGGGAAGTTCTTCCCATCGTGTCACGTTTTGTCGTAACCCTGCATTATGTTCTATCGGATTTTTTGGCATCATAAATGAACTAAATTTAAAAAGTGGGTGTCCAAGTAACACCAGAAGTGGAACCCGGATGCAGGTGGTGTCATGACTAGCAGGGACAGATTCGAAATTCTCTATATTTTGATGTATTATGTTAGATCAAGCAATGTTTTTGTTATATTTTGGTTTTAATTTTTTGTCGATACTACTTAAAGTAATGCTGGATGTTTGATATAATTATAAGGAAATAGTAATTTCTCCACTGTAAAGCTTGCCAGCTTTTTGCTTCAACAAAAGTTCTATTTATCATTATCAATTGTTATGATTCAAAATTACTGTACCTGAGGATTGTGTCTAAATGAGTTTTGACCGTTGAAATTGATTTCGATGGCGCCTTGTGACGATATAGTCAAAATCACGAAAGTTAACTATTACGTCATACCATAAATTGTACCGAAGTAATCCGTGGACGTATGTCGATGATCAAATCACGATGTCAGGAACATAATGACAACAAATTTATATTATGATTTTGAGAAGTTAGGTTATTTCACTGATTATTTTTATTTTCATTTTATTTCATGGTTTTGAGTGATACCTTAATAATAATTTTAGTGGGGAGTTTTTGTTTTGAAAAAAAATACAGTGATGTATAGACTACCTTAAGACAGCAACACCAAAGACCAAGGTATTATTCGAAAACAACCTACAACATCAAAACATCGTCTATCTTTGTCGGATACATGCAACTTAGCAATACAGTTTGTTTAGACAATAAAATTCTGTTTGTCTCTGTCTAACATATCTGAAACTTCATTAAAAATATTCACAAATCGTTGTCGTTAGTCTTTACTACAGACTAAAATGATGACGTTATCGTCATCTTTCGTGATTTCGACTATATACTTGATTCGCTATGATAATTTTGACATCTGATTATATTGATCTTCGATATTCAAATTATCATGGCGGTGTCAAAATTATCATCGCTAAACCAGTATATCCTCACAAGGGATGTCAAAGAAAACATTTATTGATTCAGCAGAAAGGATGAAAAAAGAAATTAGCAAAACCGTATACAGGTGGATATCATCTAGTGAGTTTATATGGCCATATTTTAATATTCTTGTGGTATATGGCTACACAGCATACTTTGTTAAGCATAGGAACTACATTTAAAGTGTCCCCAACAACCGTAATGAGTATAACTAATAAGGTGCTCCACTTTATGGTAAAACTGAAGTCAGCCTGTATCATTTTTCTCAAAAATGAAGCTGAAGTACAATAACAATATCCAATACCCGGCAAAATTCTAACTTGTCACATTTCAAATAATAACCAGAAATATAAAACTACTCTTGAGTTGGGTAAATACCACAATTTTGCGGTGATAACTATGACATATAACAGCTGATTCGTGACGTCACGGATCTTATAACCAAACTGATAACTACATTCGCTTGAACGGATTGGTAAATACCAACCCAAAATGGTAAATACCATTTCCATTTGGTTATCCGCTTGAATTTGATTAATTTCAACGGTCGTTGGTCGAAATCATTTAGAATGAAGCCAGAGGGGAAAAAGGAACGACGTCTGTGAGCCGCTTTAGGATATTGCGTCATCCGTATGGTGCTTTGACAGTTGTCATTTGTCAGATTTGTAGTTTTTGGTGTCGGTATTGACATTTCTACCGCATCTTGAATGTATAGAAAATACTAGTAATTTCTTCAAAATGAGCCGGCTTGAAGAGAAAGTCCTGAATGGCCTAAGTGCTGTAGGGTAAGTTAAAGTCGTATAATATTTCACTTCGAATTCTATATGACAATTTCCAACAGGTACAATGGGCTCCTTATGCAAAAGCCGAACTTCCCGATGGCTATAGAAGGAGGGCCAAAAAGTGTCGAATACACAAAGTTGGTCAATTATCTCACCAATGAAATTCGCACTTTGCTAGAGATAGATGAGGAAGTGAATACCATAAATGCCCCAGAAGATGCAGTGGCTTTCATTATGGAAGTCACGTCATTCCTCAAAGAACTAAGTATATACTTTACATTGGAGCTCATACATGCCTCTACTTTACTTGTTGCGCGACCCCAAGCTTCCAAAACTTAAAAAATGGGAATAACACCTTGGCATATTTCATTTCTAGTGGACCCTTGAATTTAGTGTCTCATTTTTTGCACATGTGCATAGTACTTCCTGCATAGTAGCAATTTAAAAAAAAATTATATCACTTGTCATATGTATAGAAGTATAATTATAATCTTTTTATGCAAAGTGTCTATAATCTGCTTGATTTGAACAAACTTTTTAATATGTATAAAAAAGGAAACTTCCTGGTACCTGCAGGTAAGTCTGTACTAAAGGAAAAGAAAGCAGAATAATAAACGTGGAATTGAGGATGTCTCAAAACAGAATTGCATAGAGCCCTTCAATTATAGCATTGTAAAAAATGACCTATGAAAAACCTGTAACACATTGTTAACAGTAATGTTAACCTAAAACATTACCTTCTTATATATACATATTCTCAGTTTAACTTAAGCTTTATTTTAACCCATTGACTTTAACCTAGTTTATGTGGACATCCCACTGTGCAAGGTGATTTCTAAATGTTTAATTGTAGCAATGTTTGCGAGAGTAATGATGAGGCATGTATGAACTAATTTCTTGATAGTAAATTATATGACTTAACAATGTACTTTGTAGACTGTCCATATTCTGCTCTAACTCAGGGGCATGTATCAGATCGTTTACAAAATGTGGGTGATAGGCTTTTACTGCTCGATTATCTGATAACAGAATTAATGGGAGCTAGGATACTCCAAGAAAAGAAGCCCTCAAAAAAGATAGAACTGAAACTGGTATGTATGACAAAAATGTGGATTAATGTTGCTTCTAGGGTGTTTATTCAAAGAAACTTATGAGTTGAAAACACTGATATGGATAAAGTTAAATTACTTGCATTTTATTATTTGGTAATGCAAAAAGTTTGTATTGTGGGATAAAAGGAGCTCCAGAAGTTCCACTAAGACCAGATTGTATGTTTTGTCACTAGACCTCTAATGATTAATTTCTTCTTAAAGTTCAAAATTTTCAGGAATTCAGTCTGTTCATGAAACTTTCCTTTACAGAAAGAAACCCCAGAAGGCAAAGATATGAGGCTCATCCTCCAAACCTTACGGTTTCCAAAACCACCTGCCAATATTTCTGTTAAGACTCTGTTTGATAAACTTTGTCCCACTATTCCAATTGTTTTGGAAAAGGCTGGTGCAGATATTGTAGGGAGAGGCATCTTCAATGGACATCTGTCCGAGAAGCAATGGCAAGTCCTGAATGATATGCAAGAGGACATGAACAAGGAGTATAAAATTAGGAGAGAAATGTTACTTACTAGGTTGGATTGCACAATTCAGTCGTTCCAGGTATGTTTTATACATGAGTCTTTCAAATAGTGTAGCCAAGTATGGGCCCAGAACAAAAAAACATACCAATATATCTGTGACAACAGGAAATCTCAATCTATCTAATTATTAATTAGCTTCAATGGAAATTTGGCTGGTGCATTTTACCTGTGAAATTCTAGACTTTTCAACTCACTAGTTGTATGTATCTCACATGTGAGTCCAGAGTATGGGAATGAAAGTTTGATAATAAAAATTCTGCTTTTTTCCAAATGTTGGATTTGATATTGGTAGGAAGGACACCAAATTACTTTCTACTAGAGAGTTCAGTGAAAAAAGCAATGTAGATGGAGAAGCAGATCGGCATTTTGAAAAATATTTTTTATTTGATTTTGATTATATCATTGTGGAAAGTAATCAGAATTTGGTGTCTTTAACAATTTGCAAAACAACCTCTTGTAAAGGGTTTTTCAATAGCTATGTCCGAAATTTGGCAGTATCTCGCTCTGGCGTTTCAGGGGGCACAGCTATGATTCTTCGATGTTTTTTCTGTGATAGTCACCATTTTACCATGGAACGCTACACTGTGCAAGATCGCGTCGCAATTGTTAAAATCTATCATAAAAATTCGTGTTCTATTCGTCAAACTTTTCGCTAGCTACGAAATATTTACGACCGAAATAATCGTCCAGCAGTTGGCCAGGAATCCATATAAAAACCCTGCACTTAGATTTTTTCTTTGGGGTTACGTTAAGTCGCTGGTTTTTCGCAAAAAAACCAACAACAATTCACCAACTGGAGAACAACATCATTAAAACCATTGGTGAGATCCAGCTCGACTTATGCTGCAGAGTTTTACAAAACGAATCTTCGGAGGCCATTTGAATGATGTAATTTTTACATCGCTGTATGTCGAATGTTCTTTAATATGCAATTAAAGTTTCAATCATATGTCACTCACAACTCGTTTTATTCAGACACACTTAATGAAAAACCCTTTATCAGCCAATTTAATTAAATTATCTTTCTCATACCGAATGAAAAACGTCCTTATGAAAATGTGTCTGCAGTGGGATCATTTTCGCCTTATTTCTCGTTTATTCGTGTTTCCAGTGGTCTGACAAAACTAAAGGAAAAGACGATATGTTTGAAAAAATCTACCATGATAAGCGAAGATTGTTGAAAGTGGATCCTGATGTTGATATAGCTGATCTTATAGCAGCAAGAACTGACGTAGCTATAATAGAAAAGACGAGTAATGCATCTGTTAGAAAATTCACCAAAACTCAACTGAATAAAGTCATTATTGGAAGGGTAAGTCAACATGGAGACAATCGTCAACAATCCAGGCAGGGATGGACGTTCACTGTAGGATAGTATAGAACCCTGTGGCAAACTCTACTCTTGGCATGTAGAAGTGTTGAAGTTGCGACTTATTATGAATCGTTCATTAAACAAAATGTATTCTTGTAGGTTCCGGATAGGGGTGGCAGAACAACAGAAATAGCTCCTCCTCCTCCCGAAATGCCGTCGTGGCAACAGCGTCAGCCTGGCGGAGGCGGTGGATTTGGAGGCAGAGGAGGAGGCGGTGATAGGGGTAGAGGCGGCGGTAGAGGAAGAGGGAGCGATAATTATTCTAGAGGAGGAAACAGTTATTCTGCTGGAGGAGGTGAGTATATTTGATAAGAGGGAAACGGTAGCTCTTTTGGGAAAGATATTCGTATCATTCTTTTGACTACCTCCGTGAAAAAAAATAGAGCATTTTTATAAAGATGGAATTATAGGCCAGTTACAAACTGTGCAGTTTCACAATTCTGTGGATGTTCAGTGTAACCATTAGTATTTTGGGTCTCAAGTGATGGCCAACGGGAACTTGGCTGTCAAACACCTGTTATTTATTGGCAAGCGCAGGTATGGGCTAGTTTGGAAACAAGTAACATGCATTGTTTCCCATTCCGAAATAAAAAAATGGGGTTGACTCTGCACTTCCAATGCAATGATGTCAGTTATTTCATGAAGGATTATGTTTGGCACAAGTTAGCCTCTCTTAGGAAAAAATACGGACGTGTGTAACAAAGAAATTACGTGGATCAAGTCAGCCAAACAGGCCCATAAAATTATTAGTCCATACTCTCTACCCATTTGATAAAGCTAGACATTTTTAGTAACACAGAACAATGAAATAAAAAGTCACTTTAAGAACGCAAAAATTCATATATTGTAGTTTGTCTCCTTTTTCCTTTAAAATGGCGACTTGAAATCGTATTTCTATTTTAAAAAAAGCTCGTAAGACTCTGTATCTCCTTGATTTTCTACAAAACTTTTGGGCTGCTTGGTCAGGGTAATAGCTTTAAAATAATAAGGAAAAGCTTCTGTCAGTACTGGAACCTCATAGACATCAGAATCTTCGGAAAGCTCTTGTATTTAAAATAGTTTTTCAATTTCTTGGCCTGAACCTAGATCTTCAACATACAAAATAGGTTCAAAAAAATTATAAAGGTTTTTGTTATCAGTCAATTTCAATAAATTTTTATTTTTGAGGATATCTGGAAGCACATTAAGTGGTGTCATTTTCTGGGTCAAGTGTATCAGTCTCATTTAACTGGTCTTTACTTTGCATATTTTCATTCAAAAGTAAGGTTTTTATATGAAGGTGGTCCCAGAAGTACCAGGCAAACGAAGAAAACACAAAAATTTTGTAAAAAAATGTATTTATTTTTCAAGATAATCTCCTTTGAGCTCTATACATTTTTCCCAGCCATGTTCAATAAGTTTGATACCCTTTTTATAATAAGAACTGTCTTGCTCCTCAAAATAGCCATTAACTGCCCAACATCACTTCTTCATCATTGGAAAATCTTTGACCACTGAGCCATTTTTTCAAGCTTGGAAAGAAAATAATCCGAGGAGGCTAAATCTGGTGAATACGGTGCATGAGATAGCAATTCAAACTTTAATTCATTAAATAAATTCTCAGCGGTATACAAATATGCGACCGATTAATGTCTTGCCCGATGTCGAGAAGCTGTTCGAAAGGATAATATACGAACCAGTCATAGAATTCATTGAAAAAACCAAAATTTTGATAAAAAATCGAGCTGGATTCAGAAAAAAATGTTCCACAGAAACTGCAATCCAAATGGTGGTGGAAGACTGGAGAAGAAGTATTGATGAGAAAGAATATATTGTAACAATGTTTTTAGACTTCAAAAGGGAATTCGAGACTATACATAGGGAAAAATTGTTAATGAAATTGCGTCACTATGGCTTTAAAGGATCAATATTACACATTTTATAAAATTATTTAGTCAAAAAACGAAAGTTGGAATTATTTATTATTTATATAAATGATATCTCTGACCTTTTAGAACACTGCAAAATTCAAATATTTGCGGACGTTACAATATATATATATATATACAGGGTGACTTTGAAGTTGAGTCATTAATTTTCAGATAATGATTGTAGAAGGAAGATAAACCAGAATATATGTGTAAAAATAAAAAAAAAAAATTTACCTTGTTTTATAAAGTATCCTCCCGACAAGTATTTCATTGCGGACCTGTATTTGATCGTGAGGTCCCCTGTAAGGTCTTAAGTCACCTGATTCACGAGCCCGTTGTACTACATTAACAAAAGGCACGAGGGGTTGGTTGCACTCGATTGGGAAACCGATCCGCATAAACATATGCCATTTTTTATTTCGTTCGAGCCACGCAACAGACACTATTCACACGCTAACCGACTGACACTGACTGTATGTACAACTGAACTGAATAAAATAATTTATTGTAAAAACATCGTTCCAAATTCTTTCGCTTTTTTGTTTCCGATGCGATGAACCGGTAAGGCGGATTATATCCGTTGTTGCCAAACACGAGCACATGATATTATTATTGAGACAGGGCGGTACTCAAACTTCCAAACGGCTATAACTTTGTTACTTTAATTTTACCAGAAAAACGGTAAAGGAAAAAAACATTTCTTTTGATCAGATCTACTCACTGTTAAAATAAATGACTCAACTTCGAAGTCACCCTGTATATATATATATATATATATATATATATATATATATATATATATATATATATATATAGCACATAAGCATTTGGACACTGCTGTAGAACTGTTAAATAGTGATATTGAAAAAATTATGAATTGGTTAAATGTCAATAAACTTAAATTAAACACTAATAAAACAAAATGTATGTCAATAGGGAAACATTTAGTTGACAATACAATTAGGCTCATGATTAATTATGAAAAAATTGAAGTAGTCATTTAAATATCTTGGTATATATGTGGATAGTAAGCTACTGTTTCACGAACATTATGAATATTGAAAAAGATAAATTAGTTCTATAGAGTTTCCCATATCTTAGTATGTATTCCAAAAAAATTGTGTATAAAACTATAATCCTTCCTCATTTTTTATATTGTTCAACCATCTTGTTTACAGCAAATGAAAACGTATTTTCACAATTACAAATTCTATAAAATAAAGCTATGAGAATCATTTTAAATAAAAACAAATATGCTAGGATTAAGTCTATGTTAGAAGAACTGCAATGGTTGGGTGTGAAAAATTTCATATATTATTTAGTTCTTGTTTTCATATTCAAATTAAAAAATCATTTATTACCACCACATTTAGAGAACTTCACAAAATTAAATAGTCATTATCATAACTACGAAACTAGAGGCAGTATAGATTTTCATCTGCAAAATTGTAATAGTAGCATAACTAGTAAATCTATATTTAAAAAGGGAGTATTTGAATTTAATAAATTGAATACTGATATTAAACATAGTTCGAATTTAAAAATATTCAAGGTAAAATTATGAATATGAATAATCAAAATACATAGTGACGTAATTTTGATTTTAATAGACAAGAACGTAAAATTACAGAAAATGGATTGAAGAAAAATATGTAACCGAATCATTATACAAAATTGACATTGTAGCATTGATGCTAAATAAATCTTCAACAACAACTGATGACGGCGTTGTGTAGGAAGTGCAGAGTCAACCTACTTGACACGAATTTTTTTTTTCACTTCAAGGTTATACCTTTATGAAAGTATTTTTCGTGATGCCTATATGGGATGCGTCATATTTCTTATGAAAAATGTTCATTTTACAGAAATGGTCGATTCTCCGTAAGAAAATTACAGTCGCTTTCAAATTCTAAAGCACTTATATATTTGTTTTTCGTTTCTTGTAGGCGGCGGTTATCAGCATCAAAACTATTCAGCAAATAAAAGCTTCGATAGCGTTGGTAGCTACGACAACAAATTCGACAACCAAAATCGCGGCGGATACAATCAAGGCAACAGAAGTTACGACAACAAAGGAGGTTATGACAACCAAAATAGAGCAGGGGGTTACGATAACCAGAGTTACAGCCAAAACAGGAACAGTTATGACAGAGGTGGAAGCGGCTTTGACAATCAGAATAGAGGTTATGATAGTGGCAGAAGCTCGCACGGCGGGCAGGGAGGCGGTTCCTATGATAGATTCGAAAGCAACAGAGGTAGTTATTCCCAAGATTACCATCAGTCAAAGCGGGCTAAAACTTACGATTCTTTTCAAGCCAATAAGCAGACGTACGCGGATCAGTACGTGCAAGAGAGCCACCATAACCAACAGTACCAAAGAGGGGGCGGTGGAGGAGGTAGAGGTGGAGGCCGGTCGAATTATCAGAGGGGAGGGGGCAGGGGAAGATAAAAGTATGCGCGATGTTATGTACTGATGGGTGTGTATTTGAAACTGAGCTTGATGCTTCTAAGATTCGCTATGTAAGAAAGTAATTGTGTATCATTATTGCGTGTATGTTGCTTGTCACATTACTTAAATTATTACAGCAGTTTGTTAAAGACGCATTTATGTACGTGATTTGTGTCGCACGACAGTGTTACTGGACAATGGTCTACATAAAGGGTTTTCCATTTAGGACTTGGCAACTTTCTTTTTAAATAAAACGCAAACCATTTGAGATATCTCGAAAATTTTATTAATGGATTGAAGTGTATTTATGTGATGAATGTGAACCCAATTTTCAATGACTCGGCCACACATTTCGACACAAACGGCCGCTTTCTCTCGTTCATTATTTGGCTCTGAGCTTATCTGACGACTCCGGCTTGTTGGCATAGACCAATGATTTAATGTAGCCCCGCAAAAAAAGTCTAGAGATGTTAAATCACACGATCTGGGCGGCCATTCGACAGGACCATTTCTCGATGTAACACGTTCACCGAATTTCAATATGTCGATTGTTTCACCCGCTGTGTGGCTTGTGGCACCGTCTTGTTGAAACTACATACCATTAATGTCTAACCCATCCAATTGACCAAAAAAATAACGTTGCAACATTTCTCTGTAGCGATCTCCGTTGACTGTATCGTGACGTCATTTTCATCAACCAAAAAAAAAAAACGGGCCAATGACACTACCGGCTTGAAAACCATACCATACAGTTATTTTTTGTGGATGAAATCGTGTAATAACGCATATTCTGTTTGTTGACGAAGCCGCTTAGCCAAAAAAGCGCCTCATCATTGAAGATGATTTTGCGATGAAATTGGCAATTTTCCTGCAACATTTCTAGAACCCAATTCGAGAACGTACGTCGGTTCATATGATCGGCTTTAGTTGTTGAATTAACCTTGATCTTATAGGGATGCAGGCCAAGATCTCTTCGCAAAATTCGCCATAGTGTGGTCTGAGCGATGCCCAATTCTTGAGAACGCTGTGGAATCAACGTGTTCTGTTCGTCTGCGACAGAAGCTTGAACGGCAGCAATATTCTCGGCATTTCGACCAACCCGCTGTCTCACTTTCACGGAACATCCAGCAGCGAATATGTGGACTCAAATTTTTTTACTAGACTACGAATTGCTTGTCTACTGGGACGACAATTACGATCAAAAATTGGCGTTAACGCTCTTAAAGCTGCAGTCACTCACTCGAAATTTCGGTAGTAAATTTTAATTATTTTTAAGCGTTGTTCGTTCGTGTACTTCGCCATGATGAAAATGTTTTGACATTGACAGTTCGGTAATTGATTCAAAGGTGCGTTCACAGTGAAAGTTATCAAGTCCCTATTGGAAAACCCAACACTTCTTTCCCTATTGAAGGTTGGCGATCCAACTTGAGACAACAGCAGCTCGGAAAATTTCGACCGATGTTTCTGCGTACCAATTCGTATTTGTGAGTAATTGAAAAAATGCGCTACCATATTCGAAAAACATACGTTACTATACACATTTTAAAATAAAGCGGATGTGTCTATCATCTTATGTTGCGAATTACTCACAAATACAAAATGTTTGAATTTGTTTAGAAGAAAAAACGTAACCCATCCTTTTTGCATAAAAATAACATTTATCTTCCGGGATGGTTTGCGATTTATATATGCAAGGTAAACTAGTGTATTTTGCTATGAAATACCCTTTGAACTAACCCTGTATATTGGTCAATAAACTGGTAGTGATGTCCGAAAAACAGGTGTTTACGGAATAACAATTAGAAATTCTCAAAACTACTTGACCAATCTACTCCAAATCTGTTGTGGTTATTTAGAAGTACGAATTTGGAGAAATTCAAATATCTGCGGAAAACCATCGTCGCATTACCAGGTGCCAAAACTTGCAGTTTGTCTCGTTTTCGGTCATAACTTTTTTGCTATTAGTCGGATCTTTTTACGTGTGGTGTTATTTTGTAGGTCATAAATACCTAAAAGTCTTATATGAAGAGTGTTTTCGTTTATGCCAACACTTTAAATTGAATCCCAAAAAACACGTTTTCTCATTCTTTATTGTCGAATAAAAAGTTTTCCCACAAAAAATGGTGTGCCCCTTGAACAACTGGCAGCAATTAAACACTTCACAATTATTTCGAAAACTAAGGGTATTTTCGTCTAATATGATTATACTATATGAGCTTGGCACTTTATAATAAATTTCAAATCAAAATATCTTAGATTTTTGTTTTTAGTGCATTTTTTTTTGTTTGAAAAAAAAATGTTATAATAATCTATTCTAAAGTGCAGGAGTGTCCTTCGATTGTCGACTGGTGCTGATTTTGTAGAAAGTAAATTGTGACTCCCTGATAGTTAAATGAAATTAATTATCTTACTGAGATTTAAAAAAAATGAAACATTACAAATTTCTGTATTTTAGGACTAAAAAAAGGGGCCGAGGTTCTCTTCCTCATAACTTGATGAAAAAAAATCGGTTTAAACCCTATATTTCGCAATTCAAAAATTGAAGTGTAACATTTTCTCGTCTAGGTTACACTTCACACGTTTTTTGCAGAATAATTTGTCCACTTTCAGGTTTCCTCGGAATTCAGTTCAATTTTCGTTAGATTACCTGGATTAAAAATCGACATATGCCCGACTCTTTTTTACATAATTCAAAGAACTTACCGTATGTCGGACATTGTCAAATGATTAATCGTGCCCATAAATGATTCCTTACGGATGCTTCTGTCTGTGAATGGAGTCAGGGACTTCCCTATGTCGAACATATTCGAGCGAACTGACGCGCGACACAAATACTATGCATAAACGCGGCCTAACAACGCATCCAGAAAGCTACAACGGATATTTAATATTTTTAATGTAGCGTATAATTAGAATAAATTATTTATAGTAGTAGCAGTTGTGACAAGCAACAGTGCGCGGGAACTTCTTGTTCTATTAACGTGTAATTTTAAGTATTCTTACAGTTTACATATTTCAATAAAACCTAGAATCGCCGACGTGGTTTCAGGTATGTGTATAATTTAGAAAATAAAATTGAATATTTACGAAGTTTTAATGTTTCATTTCGCCTCTTGGTCCTCGGTGCTCAACGCATGTATCTGATGCTCAACGAGTTTAGTATCTTGACGTCTTTTGTCAGAGGTTATAGACGACTCTAACAACAAGACTGTTGCGTCCCCAAGCAGTGATAACCTCGCATGTCTCTCGTCAGATATGAAGTCGCTGCTAGTCTTTTCTTCCATCTCCCTGGCAGAGATCGGCTTGTTAATGCATGTAAAGTGCTGTCATCAGCAAAGCTGTGGATTGGATTGATCGTACAGGAAAGGAGGTCGTTGATATGTAAGACGAACAGTGTTGGAGCTAAGACAGATCCCTGGGGAACACCCGCGTTGACGATCCTCGTTTGGCATTGGCCCTGTATATGAGCTCGACCGCTTCTTAAAATACAGGGTGTAAACGTTATGGTAGTCATCATTGAAATGGGTAATAGTGGGGGTCAATACAAGTCAAAAGTTCATATGAACCCATGGTCCAAAAGACAATAGATTTTTTCTAAATGGCTTTATAGTTTACCACTTCAAGTGCTTTATATTGACCACAATGTTACTAATTTTTATAATCTAATCTAAAATGCTTTTAAATTGGGTAATTAAAAAATAAATGGCATTAAGTTTTTCTAAGTGAATCCAAAATTTGTAGTCGGTAAGTTTCATTAGTTTAAATATTTAAAACACACATGACAACAGCTCGTCGGTCTTTAATCACTCTTATCGAACCGGCAAACGATCGCAAACGGTAACAGTGGTTAGTTAGTTTTGCATAGATAAATTACTTTATCGTTTTTTCGAGCAGAGCATCGGGCGTGTTGTTTTGTTTT